CTCTACCACTTGAGCCACAGCGCTACTTCTGCCCTTTTCTGCTTATATGGTGCTGAGGAATCGAACCCAGGGCCTCATGCATGCAAGGCAAGCACTCTTATCACTGAGCCACCTTTCTAGCTCCTTGGCAGTATTTCTTCAGAAGCTACAGTCTTTGTTTGATTTTACTTGAAGTCTAAGTTCTAATTAGTGTAGAGTAAATAAAGAACCAGGCATGGTAGCTCAAGCTTATAATCCTAGCTATTGAGAGGCAGAGATTTGGGGATTGCAGCTGAAGACCAGCTTGCCATAAAAGTTCTCCTGCTTCTATCTCACCCAATGGCTGGGCCTAGTGGTGGACACCTGTTACCTCAGCTGCAAAGGAAGCACTCTGGCTGGGCACAGTAGTGCACACCAGTGATACATGGAAGCACAACTGAGAGGACCACAGTACAGGCTGACCTAGGCATAAAGTAAAACCCTCCCTCAAAACTAACCAAGACAAAAAGTCACTAAAGATGTGGTTCAAGTGGTAAAGGGTCCACCTAGCATGCATAGAGTCCTAAATTCAATCCCTAGTTCCACCAGCACCACCCCCAGTGATGATGATGATCATCATCATCAAAATTACTTTGAACTATGGAACCAGAGGGCTAGGAAGGTGGCTCAGTGGTAGAGCGCTTGCCTTGCATGCCTGAGGCCCTGGGTTCGATTCCTCAGCACCACATAAGCAAAAAGAAAAAAAGCCGGAAGTGGCGCTGTGCCTCAAGTGGTAGAGCACTAGCCTTGAGCTGAAGAGCTGAGGGACAGCACCCAGGCCCAGAGTTCAGGCCCATGACCGGACCCAAAAAAAAAAAAAAAAAAGAAATATGGAACCAGAGAAATTGCTTTAACGGATCTTTTCGTTTGTATTGCTGATCAGTGTAATACTCTGGTTTCTCTTCACATCGCGTAAAACCTCTTTTATTAAATCAGTGGAGTCAGATTTATTTATTCAGCCTTGCAGTGGGCTGTTTTGCTGTAGGTGGATAGTAAGTTTTCAGCGTTGGTGTCTAACCGACAGTGGCCCTTGTTAAATGTCACTAGTACTTCTAATTATTTTTAGAAGTCACAAGACATAACTGACAAGTCAGAACTCAGAGCCACTAAAATGACTCTGCTTGAGGATCAGCAATTTCATTTACCTACTTTAATGAGTGTTGCAGTAGACTCTTCTTTCTGGCGATGGGTTCAATTCTCAATAAGCAGAGCTATTGGGAAAAGGCCAGACTAACTGATCTAATTTCAGAGGACATCTGACCTCTGGCCTCTTTTCCTTTCCAGAATGAAATTCCTTATTTACAAATATTATCAAAATGTATACCAGTTTTACCAGTGATTTTATGAATGATATTTATTTGCTGCCCAGGCAGGAAAGTCCTTGAAACTCTTTTTTTTTTTTTTTGGTCCTGTCATGGGGCCTGAACTCTGGGCCTGGGCGGTGTCCCTCAGCTCTTCAGCTCAAGGCTAGCACTCTACCACTTGAGCCACAGCGCCACTTCCGGCTTTTTTCTTTTTGCTTATGTGGTGCTGAGGAATCGAACCCAGGGCCTCAGGCATGCAAGGCAAGCACTCTACCACTGAGCCACCTTCCCAGCCCCCAGTCCTTGAAACTCTTATCTCCAATAAACCACCAGAAAACCGCTGCAGCTCAAGTGGTAGAGCACTAGCCTTGAGCTTAAGAGCTGAGGGACAGCGCCCAGGCCCAGAGTTCAAGCCCTACGACCGACAAAAAAAAAAAAAAAAAAAAAAAAAAAACACTTAAAAGACAACAAAGTTTACTCTTTATGTCTTTTAAGTTATTTTTATTGAAAAATGAAGAAAAGGGACTGGGAAGGTGGCTCAGTGGTAGAGTGCTTGCCTTGCATGCATGAGGCCCTGGGTTCGATTCCTCAGCACCACATAAACAGAAAAAGCCAGAAGTGGCGCTGTGGCTCAAGAGGTAGAGCTCTTGTCTTGAGCTGAAGAGCTGAGGGACAGCGCCTAGGCCCAGAGTTCAGGACCACGACCAGCCAAAAAAAAAAAAAGAAGAAGAAGAAAAGTAAATGGGAAATAGAGATGATGATTGTATTTTAACAAGTGAACTTTGAGAATGTTTTAGGGGAACTGAGGGTGCTGTTGCATGCCTGTAATCCCAGCTACCTGGGAAGCGAAGATGGGAAAATCAAAATTGGAGGCCAGCCTGGGCAAAAAGTTAACAAGAGCCTGATCTCAACAAACAAGCCAGATCTGTAATTGCAGCTGAAAGTTAGGAAGCTTAGGGAGGAGGGTTGCAGTTAAAAGCCACCCTCAACAAAACTCAAGACCCTATCAAAAAAGGGTGGGGAGGGTTGTGGCTGAAGTGATGGAGGGCTGGACTAGCAAGCACGAGGTTCTGAGTTCAAATCTTTATATCACCAGCAAAAAAGGATGTTTAATAATATACTTCCACATTTAGAAAGTAGATTACAGTGCCAGTGAGTTACCTGGGAATTGGGAAAGCACAAGCACGTATTTCTTCAGGGCTGGCTGCCAATCTTAGCCAGTCATAGGAAGAAAGAGGATTTCTCCCACCACCTGTTCTCCAAGACTGCCACCCCTAGAGCTTGAAAACTGTCCAAAGAAAGGGGCCTAAATCTGTCTTACATGCTTCTCCTGATGGTTCAGCAGCTTCATCTTACCTTTCTTGTAATTCAGTGCTTAGTAATGGCTACCTGTATTGATTTAGCATTTACTAATTATTTTTAAGACACACACAGTCTGAACATATGTAAGGGAATCTCAGTCTCTTAAGATTTTTTAATCCTATACCTTTATCTTTGTAGTACTGGGGATCAAAGCTAGAGCATCATCTAGGTACATGCCTATAATCCTAGCTACTCAAGGAAGCTGATATCTGAGGGTCATTATTCAAAGCCAGCCCAGGCAGAAAATTTTGAGACCCTATCTCCAATTAACCAGCAAAAAACTGGACTGGATGCATGGTATAAGTGTTAGAACACCAGCCATAGTCCTTGAGTTCAAGCCCCAGGTACTGGTGGAAAAGGGAAAAGCAGCAGGCACTGTATCACTGAGCTCTGTCCCCAGCCCAATTTGTTCTTTTGTCCTAGAATGGCCATGAACATGAACTCCTTACTCTAGGAGTTCTTTGGCAAATATAGGCCACAAAATTGACTGGAACTTGGGGAGCATTCAGCAAGTTTGAGCTTTGTTATAAGCTGTTTCCGTGGGTTGAGACAGTTGTCAGCTGCAAGCTTCTGTTTGTATACATTCTTGCCTGGCAAATCCAATAATCCCATTTGGAGTGAACTTATTTATGAAATTAGAGACATTCTTCTGGTCAGTCTTCTTATTTCCTATTTTTAACAAAGAAGAGAAGAAGTACATCCTAATACTGAAATTTAATCATTAATCTTAAAGTCTTTGACAATCACTATACAAAGACACTAAATACTTTTTTTCTATTTTTAAGTAATTTTATCTGAAGAGTGATAAAAATACTGAAAGTATTGAAGCAGATTTTTTTCTCTTCTTTCCAAAAATGAAAAGATTTTTTTTAATGGGAATAAAGGCAGAACAGAAGTAACCATGTGAAAACAGTTCTCTGGTGGTGTCTTTTAAATAGCCTATAGGAAATATATTCTTGATTTTTGTTTTCAGGTATCATTTGACTTCAAGTCAGTTTTTTGTTTGTTTGTTTGTGTTTTTTTGTTTTTTTTGGACGTGGGGCTTGAACTCTGGGCCTGGGCACTGTCCCTCAGCTCTTCAGCTTAAGGCAAATGCTCTACCACTTGAGCCACAGCACACTTCTGGTTTTCTGATGGTTTATTGGAGATAAGAGTCTCATGGGCTTTCCTGCCTGGGCTGACTTTGAACCATCATCCTCAGATCTCAGCCTCCTGAGTAGCTAGGACTAAGGTGTGAGTCACTGGTGCGTGGCTTTGGGAATGTGGCTTAGTGGTAGAGTGCTTACCTAGCAGGAATGAAGCCCTGGGTTTGAAAATATAAACAGAAAAAGGCAGAAGTGGCACTGTGGCCCAAGTGGTAGAGCACTAGCCTTGGGCAAAAGAAGCTCAGGGAGGGCTGGGATGTAGCTCAGTGGCAAAGCGCTTGCCTAGCAAGTGCAACGTCCTGGGTTCGATTCCCAGTACCAAAAAAGAAAAGACAAAAAAAAAAAGAAGCTCAGGGACAGTGCCTAGGCCCTGAGTTTAAGCCCCAGGACTGGGAGTGGGGGTGTGGGGGAAACCTGGGGATATAGCTCAATGAACCAGTATGTTCCTACTATGTGCAAGACCCTGAGTGTAAACCCCACCATAGAAAAAAAATACCTTTTTTCCATTTAAATTTATTTATTTATTTGTTGTTATTCTATTGTTAAGATGTTGTACGGAGGGGTTACAGTTACATGAGTAAGGCAGTGAACACATTACTTGTCGATCATTGTTACTTCGTCCCTTCCTTGTTCTTGTCCACTATCCCTTCCCTCCCTCCAAAAATACATTTTATAGAAATACTTCTCATATAATGTTTCCAAATGATCATGTATCATCCTTACATGGTCTTAAGGTTAGTTGAAGGTGTCGGTAAGGCAACACTGCCCCAGAGCCAGCAGGCATTCTCACAATGATCTCTAAAGCCACTTAAAGCATACACAAGTGGACATTGCCTAGAATGTCCTGGAATGTCAGTTACCTGTTTTCTTTTTGTGGTGAAGTTTTCACTGCCATGCTGGGCAGCGTGCACATTGGGAAATGGAGACGGGATCCAGAGAAAGCAAGTTGGCCCTGAATCACGTGATTAGTCTTCCTGAAAGTTCAGTGTCACCCCTGATATCTCTTTTAGCGTGCAGATATTGACCAGACCCCAGTATTCTAAAAGAAATGCTCAGTTCCATGTCTTCAAGTTTCTGGGTCCTTTTAAAAACTAGGAATGCTTTTGCTAAATTAATGAATGTTGGAGGGAAAAAACATTGTCATTTTCTGATTTCTTTTGTTTATGTCTAGGTAATGGCCCATCTGGACACTTCAACAAATGAAGAAAACCCAGTGACCACTGATGAACAGATTGTCCAACAGTAATATTACATGGACATGCAATAATGTGTTATTGATTTTCTACCAATAGAGTTTGACTTTTTAAATCAATTTTTGAATTGACAATCTGAAAGCATTTTCAGTGACGTTTGCAAATATATATTTTTATGAGTTGGTACTGAAAATTACATCATAAAGGATGAAAATGCATTTGCTTTTAATTATGTCAAAATTGTGCCTTCACATTAAATAAAAGCATATGGTCTATGTGCTTTCCAAGACCCATTATATAAGTATATTTTTCTAAAAACAATGCCTTGCCCCTACTCCATCCTTTCCATACTGTACTATGTTTCTTTCAACTCTAATGATGGATCACAGTATGATGGCAAAGTGAGCAGAAGAACAAATGTTTTATTAAGGAATTATGTAGATTTTATCTTCTCTATAGAAATAAATATTTAAGACCATGCATAAAGGCCATTCAGCTGTGAAAATCTGGTCCTCATATCCTGAAAAGGTTAGAAATATATAATTCAAGAATAAATATAAACACAATTTTGTAGTGTAAATTTTGAAAATGTATAACCATTTAAAAAATTGACAGCTCAAATTACTTTAGACTGCATATATAGCTATATATATCAGATTATCTTTTCAGATACAGAGAAACATAATATATAGAACTATCCATTAAAAGGATATAAATATGGCATCTAGATTTTTTGTAAGTGCAGCTTAACTTTTGAGTTTCACTTTGATCTTTGAAATTTGGTTCTATGGATGGTAATTTGTGATCTTTAAAAACTTTTCTTATCCAGTCCTATGTATTAGCATATATAGCTCATTGTTCACATGCAATGCCCACCAACAGTCGTCCTTGGCTGTTTTCTCCTGATTTCCCTATCTTTCTCCCTAGTAACTGCTGTTAAGCTCAGAGCAGGCTGGTTTATTATTTTCTGTTCAAAGTATAAATGTGCTTTTTAACCCATCTATAAAATGAACAGGTTAGATCAGTTAATCACTAATTAGCTGGTAACTTTGAACTTGAAATTTTCTTTTTTTCTCTTTATTTTTTGCAAAATAGGTGTGCGCTTGAATGTTTTCTGGGAGGCAGATCGAATTATCTTTACATTTTCGTTTTCTCTAAGAGGTTCCCAAAATACTAATGATTGCAAAAGAAGTAAGATTTGTCATTTCTGTATAAATACTGTACAAAATATGTGAACATATCTAGTCTTTTATTCTAATGCCAAATGAATTTATTAAATGATAAAAACAGTGCCTTTTAAAATGGATCAGACCTTTGATGTTTGAACTAAACTTAATATTACATGCTTTGTTTAATTGTTAACTTGCTGAGTAAATCACAAATAGAGAAGTTTCATGGACAGTCAGCCTTTCTTTCTACTTTTGTTTATGGCCAATGACTTACCCGACAATTAAGAGTTAATCTTCATTTTCTCTTCCTTATATCAAGTTTTGAATTTTTTCCAAGGAACCTAATTTATTTGGCAGTCTCTAATAGAACAGATTAAATGCCATTTTAAAACTCCAACTATTTATAATGTCAATACAATGCTTGTTACAGTATAGCTTTCTTAGTAAAATTATCTGCAGTCACATCCTGGCCTTACCATATTTAAAAGCCTCAACTACATCTTATGAAGAATGTTAGAACTATTGTGTTTTCTTAAGGAACTACATTGAGATGAATTTTCAGAATAATTTGGTTTCTCTAATTAGTGCCTAATATTTTAACTTCTGAATCTAGAATTTTTTTCACCAGAAAAACATCAACTAGTGAATCTAAAAATCAGAAATTAGAATTACTTGAAACAAATTCTGCTTTATCCAGCCATTAGTTATCAAGGAAGTCTTTTTTTTTTTTTTTGGTTGGTCATGGGCCTTGAACTCTGGGCCTGAGTGCTGTCCCTCAGCTCTTCAGCTCAAGGCTAGCACTCTATCACTTGACCTACAGCGCCACTTCTGGTTTTCTGGTGGTTTATTGGAGATAAGAGTTTCATAGACTTTCCTTCCTGGGCTGGCTTTAAAGCGGAATCCTCAGATCTCAGCCTCCTGAGTATCTAGGATTATAGGCATGAGCCACCGGCGCCTCACAGTAAAATCTTACTCTAGTTAGCTAAAGATTTTTCTATTTAATCAAGGCTTGTTTTGTTGTGTTTTATTTTGGGGGGCTGAGGATCAAGAACAAGACTTTATGCATGGTAAGCAAGAACTCTATTACCAAGCTACCCTCCCCCCCCCCAAACAATCAAAATGATTTTCAGTAGAAATAAGAACTAGAAAGTAAAATTCCTATAGTCCATCATCAATGTTGTACTTGAATCTAAGCAGCCCAGTTTAAAATAGTTATTTGGAGAAGTTAAAATACAAATATTTTAGGAAGTCAAAATGAATTAACAAGAGATCTGAAGATTTGGTTATAAAAAGCTCTATCATTTCTTCCTCTCTGGATCTTTTGCCACCAAGAACTTTTAAGAGAAAGAGAATCTGTTTGTTTTTTTCCCCAAAGCATGACTTAAAAAATATGATAGGTTGTATTTATTAATACTTAATGCTAAAATTACTAGAAAGTTCTTATGAACATTTTTGCGGCTGAACAAATAGAAATTGCTGAGTATCACAGATTGTAATGTAGAGCCAGGCATTGGTGGCCCACACTTCCAATCCTAGCTTCTCAAGAGGCTGAGATCTGAGTACCTTGGGTCAAAGCTGGCTCAGACAAATTTGGAAGACTCATTTTCCCCATTAACCAGGAAAAAGATGGAACAAAAGGCTGTAATTCATAGGGTACCACCAAGGGAGAACATAGCACCCCAAGTCTAAGTCCTAGTACCAGCAAAAACCATTGCAGTGTAGATTATTTCTTGTTTAGTTCAGCAAAAACAAGTATGAATTTTGTGAGAAAGGACCTTGATATCCTAATGTGCTATCATTAAGCTGGAAGCTTGTTTCAGATGACAGTTAGTTGTTAGTTGAGTGCAATTCATCACCCAATTTATGTTACTATTTTGGGAATCTCAGGAGGTCTTGGTCTGGAGAAGAAAGACTTCAAGGATGGAAGTAGGGGAAATTTAGGAGAACAGGTTACATTTATTAGAGTGAAACAAAAGAGAACTCTTCCAGATGTGCATAGCTTGTGAGAAAGCAGCTGCCTGAATGGCTGGTCTGTGAGGCTTCCAGCTAACCCCAGGGCCTAGCTGACAGCCTTACCACCACTAGCTTGCCCCACGGCAAGTCAGAAGGAAAATGGCCAGTGACCCCTGCAAGCCAGGAGCAGGAGAAGTTGGGGTCCACCACACAGTTTATTGAGGAGTCCTGTCCTGAGTGCTCTTAAGTCTTCTTGCAGGTGCCAGATACCGATTTTCAAGTCCAAAGAGTAAGTTGCTAGATAGGTGCCATAAATGTCCACCTGGGCACTGTGACTTGGTTCTTCACGGAGGTGTCCACAGTGTTCATTACTGACACTCTGAAGTCACAGCTCCCTGGGGCTTAGTAGCTCCAGGCAGCACCTCTGAACCACTCAATTCCGGCCTAGGTGCCCATAGGTATTGAGATTTCTATATTTTAGTTTTGTAAGCATGGAGATTTTTGTGAAAAGGCACATTTCTAGTAAACACAAATTAGCTTTCCAGTGTTCTTTGTTCTTTGAATTTACTCATTCCTCCCTCTCTCCCTTTCTCCACCCACCCCCCTTCTGTACTGGACAGGGGGCAGTGGAGGGGTGGGGGAAGTCCAACCTAGTCTAGCTCATGCTCAGCAAGAGGTCTAGGTCAGAGCTACAGCCCCAGATCTTCAACATCTGCTTTAGTTATAAGCAAAACTTATTTTTACATTTGACTAAGAAATATTTGGACTAATTTATTTAAGCTTGTTCTCTAAAACTTGAGCTTCATCCCAGCCAGTGAAACTTTGGAGACACAAGGATTGTATTTCAGACTAGTGGAATGTACTTACTGGTCTGAAGACCCTTTGTATTTTCCCATGAACAAGAAAGAATTTGAATTAGTTCAAGATGATGCTAAATGATCCATTCTACAGTTTAAAATATTTGTTTTCATCTTATATTCTGTTTATCTCAGAGGATAATTCTGAAGCAGGTTGGGTAAGGGTCATGCAAACAAAAATACTTAGTATAAATCATCTTCTGTTTTCTGGAAGACAAAAATGTGGATTCATGAGATTGGAATTAAATGATCAGATAGACATTATCTAGTAAAGACTATAAAGAAGAATTTGTGTTTAATATTTCCATATTACAACAGCCTTTGTATATGAGAATGCTCACCAGGAGTGCTGGGGACATGACTCAAGTGGACGATGACTTGCGAGGTGAAACACTGAGTTCAAATCCCAGTATTCCCCCAAAGAAAGAATTTTATGGAAAATGTTTATTAGTGGGCAAATTATTTTTTAAAACTAAAATTGAAGGTTGTCCTTTTTTTTTTTTGGGTCCGGTCGTGGGGCCTGAACTCTGGGCCTGGGCGCTGTCCCTCAGCTCTTCAGCTCAAGGCTAGCGCTCCACCACTTGAGCCACAGCACCACTTCTGGCTTTTTTCCTTTTGCTTATGTGGTGCTGAGGAATCGAACCCAGGGCCTCAGGCACGCAAGGCAAGCGCTTCTACCACTGAGCCAACTTCCCAGCCCGAAGGTTGTCCTTATTGGTAATTAAGACAACTCAAAGAAGATGGAATATTTGGTGTCATCATGTTCCTCTTTGATTAAGCATAAAAATATAAAAACAGCCTTTCTATCCTTTGATATATAGATTTGATTCTTTTTAAAATCTAAAAGTGTATGTTGTTATCCTGCAACATTTCCCAATAGAATAGGTAGATGCAAATTAGGTAGTTTTTGCCTTTAAAAAGCCTTATTCTGTATTTTGTTTATATGAAAACCTTTAAAAATATTTAATTGGATCCTTTTCAGATGAGAAGTTTGAGTAGATTTTTTTAAACTTGCATATGTAAGTTAGTATAAATTAACTTTTTTTTTTTTGGTCAGTCCTGGGCTTGAACTCTGGGCCTGGGCACTGTCCCTGAGCATCTTTGTGCTCAAGGATAACACTGTACCACTTGAGCCACAGTGCTGCTTCCAGCTTTTTCTGATTAATTTATTGGAGCTAAGAGTCTCATGGACTTTCCTGCCTAGGCTGGCTTTGAACAGCTATACTCAGATCTCAGCCTCCTGAGTAGCTAGATTACAGGCATGAACCACTGGTGCCCAGCTATAAATTAACTTTATAACACTACTAGGGCTTTACTTTTTTTAGGGAAGATGATTTCAAATGTAAACATTTTTCAAGTATTGATTTAGCTATACTTTAAACTAACTTCATCATGTGCCAAATACTGACCAGAAAAAGAATTTTGATGTATTGAATTCACTGTACTACTCAATAAACTATTTTAAAATAAAAATTCAATTCGTTGTATTTTATATGGTAAAAAAAATTATTGAAAAGATTCTGGTACTATGTTGAATAATATAGTGTAACATAGTAGGTCGTACAGTTTGGGGAAACATTTGTAAATGTGGACTGGTGTTTAAAGCATCAAAAAAAAAAAAAAAAAGAGGGCTGGGAAGGTGGCTCGGTGGTAGAGCACTTGCCTTGCATGCTCGAGGCCCTGGGTTCGATTCCTCAGCACCACATAAGAAAAAAGCTGGAAGTGGCGCTGTGGCTCAAGTGGTAGAGGGCTAGCCTTGAGCTGAAGAGCTGAGGGACAGCACCCAGGCCCAGAGTTCAGGCCCCACGACCGGACCCAAAAAAAAAAAAAAAAAAGATTGGGAAGGTGGCTCAGTGGTAGAGTGCTTGCCTAGCATTCATGAGGCCCTGAGTTCCATTCCTTAGCACCACATAAGCAGAAAAAGTCGGAATTGGTGCTGTAGCTCAGGTGGTAGAGCCCTAGCCTTGAGCTGAAGAGTTGAGAAACAGCACCCAGGCCCAGAGTTCAGGCCCCATGACCAAAAAAAAAAAATTATTGAAAACAAAAGAATTCTAGATCTAGTTCCCATATCACAAATCATGTTAATAATGCTTTGTGAAATTAATAATTTTTTAAGTCTAACATTTAGTCATTAAAATCCGGACTTAATACATGATATTTGTTGTAACTTTGTTTTGATACATAATAAATAGTACTAGGTAGATACTAATTATCTTTGCTTTTTTTTTTTCTGTGGTGCTGAAGAATCAAACTCAGGGCCTCATGCATGCAAGGCAAGCACTCTACCACTGAGCCACCTTCCCAGCCCCGATACTAGTTATCTTTAA